CAATGAGGCAGTCGTTTCGTTCTTCTTCTTTAAATTCTGTGTCAGTGTCAGCAATTGCTTTATCCATTAATCAAAGCACCAACATAAAAATTTGTTTAGTAGTTTTTTGCAGAGCAGCGTCAACGGAATCCTGAGGATGATTGCTGATAGGCCAGAATCTGCTGTTCTGGCAAGATATAACAGTCTCCATTTGAAAGCCTGATTCTGACTCATTGTATCATTTGACATTGTTTGATTATTGTTACCTATTTACCTTACAATTTTGATTACAAATAGATATTTGTTATCAATACATAGTATAAAACAAAGTCGCTTTCGCTGTATGTCCGTATGTATGCTTAGATCTTTAAAACTACGCAACGGATTTTGATGCGGTTTTTTTTAATTGTAATAGTGATTCTTAAGGAAGGTTTGTATGTATAATACATGCATATTGCACCCGTGCGAAGCCGGGGCGGGTCGCTAGTTAACAATATAAGGACAAAATCTAGTCTGAAATAAAATATGAATACCTAATTTTGTTTTGCAGTCCCCATGTGTATTTTAAGAAATTTTCTGTCAGTCTCTCAGTCTTTAAAATGTAGAGCGCATACGCATTAATGCTTATTTATTTATTTACTGCTTTGTTTACAATCATACTAGGGTGGTTTTAATGCCGGATGGTATTCCCAGGTTTGAGCTCTTTGTGGTTAGTCTAACATAATCTTCTATTAACTCCCTAATTAATCATTATAGGCGCAGAATGAAATTTAATAACTCTAAATAATTGGGACACTAAGATTATAACGGTTTTTATGAACATCGTTATAGCTTGAAGTAATTATTATAATGACCAATTAAAAATTCCACTTGGTAGTTACTGTTTTGTTTCTTAAAAGCTTACCTCGCAAACGCACGCGACTTGCTCCTGTGTGAAGCCGAAACTCGGCAGGGGAGCATCTCTTGGGGGGCTCGACTCCCGCTGACCCCATTCGGGGCCCCCCAACATGTCCAAATGCTCGTCTCCAGCCACTTTGATGCAATTTCACACCAATTTCGGAGAAAAATTAACAAAAATAGTTGTTTTCCCACAATCTGTAAAAGCTGTCACTCACTTTCCCGCACTTTTGTTTTTTTAATAACGTTTTCAAAGTTCGGTATATCAAGTACGTTTAAAAATTAAATGTTTGCACTTCCACTGTTTTTCGAAAATACTTTAAACGGTAAATAAACACAAAAAGGCGGCAGTCCCAAAAATGTTTAAACAAAAGCGATCACCTTTTAAACGTCGATTACTTATTTGTGTTCCGATTTCGAAAATGGTTTGAAGTTTGTTTATGAATACGAGTGAGTTGTATTTGACGTTATTCTTTTTTAATTTTATTTTTTAATTCACTCCCAGTCTCTGTCTGGTTAAAGTCCGTTCACACCATGCAGTTTTTTATGTTAAATAAATGCTTTTTAAATTATTTTTTGGTTGATGTGTTTCACTCCGATATTGGTTTTCTCTTCTTTTTCATTTTATTTCAATTACTGCTGACGGTCACTGCGTTTACCTGTAACAAGAAAATAATTTTAATTCAGCCCCTGCTAATTTAAGGTCATAAGTAAAACAAAGGCAAGAACATTAATATTTAAAATATAGTTGATAATTAATACCCGTTAACGCCCTTAGGGTGCGGAAACCGCTACAGAAAGACAATTACGACGTCATGCCTAATAAAATTAGCAGCTTTAACAGAATATTATTATTTAAACAACATTGTTCTTTTAAATAATCATGTACCCCAAGTAAAACAGTAGTTTTACTATTATCAGTTTCTATCATCCCTTATTTTAAACGTTACGATTTGTCTATGATGAAATTTCGCAAAGCCGCAATCATGGTAGTATTCAAGTGTATAAATCGTTCAATATATCAACAAAGGTTTTCTATAATTTTGTACATCATGGCAAAAATATAAACACTTTTTTAAAAGGAACGTTTACATAGCAAGTAATCATTTGATTACATCCTGGGCCATAAAAACATATTACGTACTAATAACACTATTTTCAAATCTATACGATACGGTAGTGCATTAATATTAATGAGAATTAGGGATGGGCCAACAATTGACCCTTGGGGAACACCCACCGGTTTTTTAAAGGTCTACGTTTTGAGTGAGATGTTTGGAACTTTAAATTATTGTAACATGTTGAATTTAGGCAAATCATGTTTCCTAACTAGTTAAACTTGAATATAACAGACTTTATGGTAAATTATGTGGGAATATATCTAACATTAGTCTACCTTAAAACAAATATCGACTGAATCAAATGTATTTTTAAAAATGTTATTTTGTCGCATAGCAAAACTACGAAGTAAACAAAGATTTGGCAATATTTCAGGTTCATAGAATAGCTGGGACCTTGGAAAATATATCGAGGGGTAACGGGCTATTTGGTTTAAGCGACATTTTTGCAACTTTACAGGAGAGCCTTTTAAAGTTTGAAATTTCGAAAAAAAATTCATAACAAAAACGCTTCTGCAGATATTTGAACGGGGTAAATTGCATTGAAATTTAAATAAAAATATCTAGTTGCTGATGCTAATTCCAAATAAAACGGACCTTTAATTACAAAGATAAATGTCGCTTAATACAATCTGCCCTTTTTTAGAGTCAGGAAAAATGATTTAAGTGACTTCATAACTACAATTGGCTACAAGGGAAAAAAATTAAGCGACGATGCACTCTATTTACAGAGTAAGCCAAAAAGTATGAAGTAACGAAACCCAAAATAAATAGAAGCAAGCTATTTATCTCAACTACCAATTTAGACTAAAATGAATAACAGGCTAATTTACTTATGTGACATATAACATTGAAATTGTATCGTTAAATGTTTATGTTTATTTACATCTAAGACGATTAATGGCTGATAAAACAACCTGGATATATCGAAACAACCGAAAATCTCAGGTGCTTACATCGGATAAATAAACACAACACAATATCAAAGTATTTATTTAGATTAATAATAACAGTCTGCATAGGAACAACGATTATATTATTATTTATTCAGCAAAATCAGATAAATTAATGGGTTATTTACTGAAATTGCCGTTTTGTATGAAAAAATTTAAACGATTTTTTTCATGTATTTTTTATTTGTATTTATCGAAGTAATCACCCATGTAATCAATGCATCGTTGCCAACGCAGTGGCAGTTTATTGGGCATCAATAAACTGCCACAAAATACTTCTTAAACAAATCAGCTGGACGGGTGGCAACAAATTCTTTAAATGCATTTTGTACTGCCTCTCGGGTAATGAATTTTTTTCCCGCGAAGAAGTTATTCAAATTCTGGAAAAGAAGTAGTCTGGTGAGTAGGGTGGATATTGGAGAGCTTCCAACCCCAGTTCTTGTAACTTGGAGACCATCTGTTGTGCAGCTTTAGGTCGCGCGTTGTAATGCAGGAGCAATGGAGATGAGCGATTGACCAGTGCTGGTTGGAGATGTGTCAGCTTCTCCATCATTGTGTTCAGTTCTTCACATTACACATCCGCAGTAATGCTCACTCCGTTTGGTAAGAACCTGTGATGAATCAGACTGGCGCTAGACCATCAGTGACCATCACTTTTCTAGGAGTAAGTTTTCGTTTCGGGTATTGTTTAGGTGCTGAACTAACTACTACTACAACTATGTTGAGCAGTGCAAGGCACTGCTCGATGCATACTTAGCTCTGGCGATCATTGAGTTTGTGGGACACCCACTTGTCAAGTTTTTTTACCTTGCCAATTTGACGTAAATGGACCAATATTGTTTTGATGCTAACGTCGAAAGCTGTTGCTAAATCAGCCGTAGATTGTATGTCATCAGCTTCCACAATAGCCTATTGTCACCAAAGTCTTCGGACGACCGCGAGGTTGATCTTGAAATTAAAGTACTTAGGATTCAATTTCGATGAGCGTTTTACGTAAACACTGGCGGTGAGTGCGCGTCCCGTCTGTCTTCGACGCATTCTGGAGTGACTGAAGCGCCAGCGCACGATAGTCCAGTTGGATGATCACGATTTTTAACACCCGGGCGATGAAATAAATATAGTATCATATGACATGATTGAAATGTACCATATTAAAATTTAGTGATTTAAAGACCGATTCATATTTTTATGAATACTGGCAAAATGTTTCAATATCCATTATTAATGTTATCATCTGTATAAAACGACATGCATTTTAAAAAAAAGGAGGGCTAAATGATTTATGACTAAACAAAATATCTGAACGAAAACGACTATTTGGTTTAAGTAGCACCCTGCGTGGAAAATAAAAGCAGCTAGAAGTGTTTAAGAGACGAACCATGTCGTATTTGGGTGACGGATAAATGTTTTAAGCGACAACACACCGTGTGATTAGTGGGAAGTCAAAATGATTCAAGTTACTTGCTAGTAAAAATTAGAAACAGGAAAAACGCTTTAACTCATTTTGACTTATTAATTAGAGATAGGGTGACTGGTTTATGTCTCGGTTATTAATATGATGGTATGGTTCAAGTACATAATTTAATAAAAAATGCGAAATCCATGTCGTTTAATACACTGTCACTTTGGAAACAACACGAAAATAGAATTGTTTGAAACGCCAAAAAAGTGCTCCGATTTTAATGAAACCGGCATCAATCGACGGAGAAAAATTCGCTGATTCCGAATATATATATAACTCAATATCGCCCAAAATGTCGCTTAAACCAAATAGCCCGTTACCCCTCGATATGATGATTGAAAAACAGCAATAACAACAAACTTTTAAGTTGAATTTTGCATAAAACAGAAAAGTGTTGTGATAAATGGAGTAGTATCCTTACTAATATTATAAATCGGAAAGTGAGTTTGTTTATTTGTTTGTTTGTTCCGTTTTCACGCCGTAACTACTAAACCAACTGCTTTGAATTTTTGCAGACGTAAAGTTAGAAGACTGGATTAAATAATAGGTATATAAGTACTTTTTATTCCGGAAAAAATGATACTCTCAAGGGGAAAACGAAATTATTGGTATAGATGGCGCTGTGTGTATTGGTATATGTCATATAGGATACTTTTATCCTTTTGTGACGCGAGCGAAGCCGCGGGTAAAAGCTAGTTATACATAAGTCTGCCTTGTGTGATGAATTAAGTGATGTAAATGCTTTGAATTAACTGTAATTACATAATAACTATTCATTAACATTTTGATGTCACAGCTTAGCTTTAAAAAAACTTCCTCATAGTCATAAGTATTTGTATTCTAACAGGACTCCACTTAAACTAATAAATTCACTATGAATTCCTTCCCCTATATAAAACCCCACAGTCAGAGCACATTAAATCAATTTCTCATCGCAATCAACCACAAAATCTTCAAAAAAGGGGACCTACCATCAATTTTCCATATTTTTATCACCAAAAAAAACATACCAACACGTACTTTGAAGTATTACAAAGATTCAGTGACGCGACAACGCAAGATTTAGTATAAAATCTTATAAAACAATCGAAAAATTTGTGTTACAATGCCTAAAATGCTCTGTAAAGACAAAGTTTACTTCTATTTCTGTCTCTTTCTGTTCCATAGCTTTGATAAAGTGTGAAAGAGATGCAGGAGGGTCGTCAGGGGGCATGATGTTAAATGTTTGGTGTTTTAAGTAATTTTTATCATCGACACGATCTTTAGGGAGAGCTCCTTGATATATAGAGTTGACGGGTTAACAGTGATGTACATTTATTGTCGATGTTTATTTCTTGTTTTGTCTCCTGCCAGTTTTAGCGGATAAATTGTGTCATAGACAATGATACGGTTTTGTTACATTTTTTTTAAAGGTCGTTGACATGGGAGTGGATGGACTGTAAGTTTGTGATTTCGTGGCGATTAATTCATATAAATAAGGTACTTGTAATTAACGTAAGTTGGAACGTAATCTATTCTCGCTTTTTGACATACACCCGTAATAAAACAGATACAAAAAAAATATAAGTAGGTATAACGATATTTATTATTTGCAAAAACAAAATAGAACAAGACATTACGGAAAATTTCTACCGACACGAATAAAAAAAACAAATTCGTAATAAATAAATATATAGGGTCACTTTGTAGAAAACATCGGACGTCGCAAAACGTCTCTAAAACACATTTTAAATTTAGAATCATTGAAGAAATTTAGGTTGCGTTTTGTAGTCACATTGTAACGTATTTGGAAAGCTTCCAAATGGTTCCTATTCGTCAACTAAAATACTTTAAGATACTCAAATTAATACATTGCTTATAGAAGCAAAAATATGTATGAAATAAATATAAATTCTGTTTTTTAAATGTCATTTTGAAACCTGACAGAGATTTTATTGTCTGTGTATTTGCGTAACCTCTTTTATCTATGATCAAAATCAGAGATGGCTATCAGACTGAGACGAGAAACGTTCATTCTATTTTAAATGAATTAACTTATAAAATATTTTGTGATAACAATCTATACAATGTTTACAATTAATGATATAACGTTCAGCTTTTTACATAAAAATACATAATACATGTGG